AACATTTCTCTCGTTAAATTAAATAATATATTTATCTTCTCAGCAATTCTATTTTTCTTTCTTTATTCATATTTTTTACTATTTTACTTTCTAATTTCAACTCAGATTCTCTAAATTAGCTATTCTTTTTTGTCACATTTGATTGATCCACATATCAGAAAGCAAGTTCTTTTGAGTCTCACTTTTTTAAACTACGAAATCCACGAGACACGTGTCATAAGGTTCAAAACAAGATCGATTATAGGCTTAATCCTTTTACCATTTTCACTTCATGCTATATTTTTTATAGGGGATAGTTCAATACCATATAACGTGCGCCTAACCCACATATTATATGTTGTTCTCTCACACTTTTTTTTGTCTCAATATCTGAATTTTATGAAAGAAATTTTAGGATCTTTTAATATATTTTAGTTTTAAGCCACCAGTTCTGTTGAGCCGTGTTGATTAATTATGAACAAGTATTTATAGATCACTGTCCTATGAACGTGTTATTACTCAACCAGCTTCATTCATATCGGGTAACTAAATAACACATTCACTGATTGTCGTTTTATTTTAATTGAGACTCTATAAAATTTGATTGAGAATGCTCGAGTAGGAAATTAGTAACGCATTGATTTAGATTTCCAAAATTTCTTAATAATGGATTTTATGATTTTATTTCAACTTAGACAATATTAAAGTTTACCAAAAAAAAGTACAAAAAAAATTGGACAAAAGAAAGAAAGAAAGAAAGAAAGATTATCTACTCTTTAACACTAAAAATACTTTAGAAGTTTGAATTAAATTAATTAAATCTTCATATTAGTAAATACTTTTTTTACAACAATATCAAAGGTAACATATTGAAAATACATGTCTAACATCTTATTTATTTAAGTTTTCTCTTACTAATATAGATAATAATACTACTATGTGAAGTTAAAGTATCATTTAAGAATGTTATACTATAAATAACATGTAGGAAAAAATTGGCAACACTAACTTTTTTCTGCATATGTGTGTGTGTATATATACTAATAAAAAAGTATAAGGTATCTTATTAAAAATTGGCTTTAGGCCACTGATTTTATGGAGACGCCCGTGTGTTTCTGCATTCTATGTGTGAGGCTTCTTTAAAATACATTTAGTCATACTTTGACAAAGCTAAGTATTTTATTAATGCTTTCCACTAGGAATTGACTGAAAGACATTGTTATCTATGAATTGTGAATTGTGAATTGTGAAGCATTTCAATAAATCATATTCCAAACAATTCTCAAGGTAAGCAAATATGTTCTTTTTATTTGTGTTTTTTTTTGTTTCGAATTTGTGAGATTCTTTTTCTCATAAAATCATAAAACCTTGAATATGTATGTCGGTGTTCTTTTTGACATTCTGATCAAAATTATTTGATGACGTAATGTAAAGGAAAAAAGAGTTTTTACAAGAAGCTATTCGGATGGAGTTATTGAACAAGTGATTCAAGATTTTTGATGATATTTTACATAATATAGAGTATAAAAGTTAATAGGCTGAAATTTCAGAAATTGAATAAATTGTTTAATTGAAGTATACAAGTTTAATCATGTATATGGGTTGTGGAAAGAGGCTAACTTATTTGATAGTATTTCTCTACTTTCCATCACAATTCTACTACAAAAGATTAGTACATAAGAATGTACTGGATTCATTTGCATTACGGACTACCCACACATTTTTTTTTTAGACTAAGCTAAATATATTTATTTTTTTCTCCTTTGCTCTTACTTCATCTTTAGCTAACGAATTATTAACAAATTTTTTTTTTATTTTGCTTATTGACTTTGCTGTTATGGAAAATGTATGTAATAGTGGAAATCTTGCTTTATTTTACACATAGGTACAAGAAATGTTACTCCTTGCAATTTACTTAGGGGTTGTTTGGTACAATGGTGGAATATCCTAGGATATCTCATGTGGTCGGATATTCCACGGGACTAGTTATCCTATCTTCTATAGTGTAAAAGTTATTCCGAGATTAGCTAATACCCCAAACCAAATATGGGATAAAGTGTATCCCAAATTTTATTCCATGATTTTTTCTTATCTCATGTATCAAATGACCCCTTAGTTGGTGGTTAACAAAGCGTGTATCTTACAGTTCCCATCAATAGATTTATTATGCATTTATTCTTCAATTTTTTTAGTTTTCTAACCCTCATTACTCTTTAAATTCCCTTCAAAAGGATAGGTAAATTGATCATACGTATCTTTCTTTTTTTTTTCTGAAAAAGTAATAAGTTTGTGAATATTTTCATTGGGTACAAAAGAAATTTTTTATTACGATACGGGTAACTAAATGTGAGTCCTTAACAGCTTTTGAAAAAAGCAACTACACAAGCATTTTGTGCTATTAATGTAGTTTTGTTTGCTGGTATTTAAACAAGTATCACGAAATAACTGGTAGTGTACAAAATAAAGTAATTAAGATTTTGTTTTTACTATATATGATTGAAAAGTTTCACCGGCTATTTTGGAGGGTAAAATCTACTTTAGTATTTTGGGTGTACATGTCTCATCTTAGTATGAAAAAGAAAATAAAATTGTAAGTTAGGTGGTACTTTTCTATTGTTAGATTTAATCAAATTAGTTTGGGTTCCTTCTCTTAAAGTAGTATTTTGTTAACTAATGGGATTTTTCTTTTATTTTGAATGTTCTGTTTTGAGAATGGTTCATATACTTTATTTTTAAGTCAATATTAATTGTTTTTGTAAAGTGGTGATTTTTATTCGTTAAATGGTGTTTTTTTTTTTGGTGAACTTAAATGGTGTTATTATCTCAATATATTAATGTTGCAGTTACTCATGCATTCAATGTATATTTTATAAAAGCAAGCTTACATAGCAGAACAGTGCATTAAAATTAGAAACCGCAATTTTTTAAATTTATGTCGCAACGAAGAAGAGGTACTCCTACTAAAGATTTTTGGGTTTTAATAAAAAAAATAGTATTTCATTTATATAAATTTTTATTCTCTCAATTTCAACTAATGATAATTTAAATATTTTTATTTGTGTAATTAGGAATGTTAAGCTGAATTTACATAATTCTAATCTAAACTTTAGTTCTCATTTTTAATTAATACTCTTTGAACTTCTTAATTAGATAAAACTTAAATGGGTTATATTGGTAATATATAGTTAATTATACACCACATATAAGTATTTGATATAATTAAACAAATTTTATGAATTAAACAAAATGTAAGTTTTTTATTAGTATAATATTTCTTATAGTGATGAGGAAACAATATCTAATCCATTATCAGTTGCTAATCCTTTTGTAAGTTTATCGATGTTTCTTAAGACTTTGTAAATTTATGGATATTTTTAAGACCGCGCGAAGCGTGGACAAATTTACTAGTGTACAATAATAGATACCAGCATTTGTTCTATTCCGATAATTGTGGTCATCTATCATGATTTTAAATAATATAGTGGCTTCCAGAACAACTTTAATCATCCACCCCATGAGAAAACAAGTCCCAGTCACAAGCAACCTATACCGAGACAATAGATGCTTATATTACGATAATAAATGCAGGATATGTATCTTAAACAAACTTCTATCCCATAGTTAAGTAATGCAAATTCTCTCTTTATTTTGTAGTTCTTGAAGTTAAGTTACTAGATTTAAGTGCATACACCGATTGCAAGCAAAAATTTAAAGTCTTGAAAGCTCCCTCGGATAGCAGTAATTTCTGCTCCTTCAATAAGACCACAAACAATTAAACAGAAAAGATCCAAATAAGTTCATATATGCCCTTACCGTCACATAGGTGGTCCATATATGCCCTTACCATTACATAGTTGGTCCATGTATGCCATTTTCGAAACAGAATCCACCCAAACTAATTAGCTCTTTCTTTAATTATATTAAAGTGTATTACAAACACTATCTCTTTTTTGTTAATAACTTTTTTTACTTTACCTTTCTCTTTTCTTTCTTCTTTTTTCTTTTCTTCTCTTTTTTTTCCTTTTTCTTCTCCCATATCCGATTTCATCCATTTGCCACTATCTCTTTTTTGTTAATAACTTTTTTTACTTTACCTTTCTCTTTTCTTTCTTCTTTTTTCTTTTCTTCTCTTTTTTTTCCTTTTTCTTCTCCCATATCCGATTTCCTCCATTTGCTGATGCCTTCTCCATTTCCGTCACCAATTTCACGTGATTTTATTCCTAAATATCAAACATACACCACCTACACCTTCCAAGCGAGAAGGCTCTGGTTATTCTGAAAAGAAGGAGATGAAAATTGTCGGAGAAATTTTTTCGGTGGAGTTAATTTGGTGAAGGTAGGATATGGTTATTCAAATTTTGAAGGTGTTGTTCACCGTGGAGCTTCAAATCTGAATCGAACAAGACCTTCAAAATCTGAATAACCATATCCTACCTTCACCCAATTAACACCACCAAAAAATTTCTCCGATAATTTTCATCTCCTTCATATCAGAATAATATACAGGGTTTGTGATAGTAAAATTAGCAAGAATTCAGGAGTTTTATCAAGTTAAATTGGTGATGAAAATGGAGAAGGCATCAGCAATGAAGGAACTCGGATATGGGAGAAAGAAAAAAGGAAAAAAAATAGAAGACAAGAAAAAAGAATAAAGAAAAGAGAAAGGTAAAGAAAAAAAAAGTACTAATGAAAAGGAAATAGAGCGTTTGTAATACATTTTAGTACAATTAACGAAAGAGCTAATTAGTTTAGGTGGATTCCGTTTCAGAAACGGCATATATGGACCAATTATGTGACGGTAAGGGCATATATGGGGGCTAAAGTATTAACGAAGGGCAAATGTGTTCAACAAGGGCATATTTGGACCTTTTCGGATAATTAAATGGCCAGTAATGAAGGAAGCTTCTCCCAGATAATTGACAGAAGGGTTCTCTTACTCTCAACCAAGTAAAGGCCGCCAGAGCTTATATACTCTTAAGCTTCCATTAATTTCATATTTCTTCCCTTTCACACAATAATGATCTGGTGAGAGTATGATATTTGATCTGTTTCTGAAGGAAGGAGTAAGAACCAGAAGCACTCATTAATTTACATCATTATAGTCGTGTAAATTAAACTATTACAAGCTGAGCAATTTCAATGTGACTGGAAAACCTCAGGCATATTTTGACAAAGTTGATGAGACACTGAAACCACAGTCAAGTGTCTTACAAAAATTTGAAAACACCATATAGTCAGGGACTAAAATATGCTGAAGCATTCTAATCATCATCCTCAAGAACACTCCGACGCCTCTGGATCTAAGAAGTGATCAAATTTCAGAACAAGGGTTCAACATGATAGACTAAACAAAAAGGAAAGAAAAAGATAAGCAGAGAGTCAATGACTTACAGTTACTTTTGTCTGCTTAGTAGTTTGGGTGTTAATTTGTTCAAGTAATTGTATCAGTTTCTCCTCCGAAACCTGCACAGATTACATTATTCAAAGCAACTGAAAGGATAATCTATTAATCCGGAAGTACAAATATATAGAGAAAAAGAGAGCACCTTTTCCGTGATCTGCCCCATTTGGGCAGCTCTGAGTACAACATCTTCAACTCCTCTGGCCTTTTCAGGCTTAACAAGAGCAATTCGAGCAACTGCATATAGCAAACGAAATTAAGGCCACTGGTCATCTCATGAGATACTTGGTCCGAGAAAGTTAAGAGAACTGATGAAATAATAACAAAATCAATGAAATCAGGGAAAAGAAGAACAATACTAGATACAGCCTATAACAATAAAGGGCCAAGCAACTTCAAGCAAATACTCCCAAGTCCCTAGCCCCCGAACCCCTTTTCATACTCACGCAATGGATAAGCACATAACAGAAATGACTTCAGTAATTTTCGAGAATCAGGAAAAGCGCGCAAGTTTCACTGTTTATTATAGTTGGGCAAAACTGAATAAACTAAAAGAGAAATGAGCAGACGCCAACCTTTCCAGGTCTAGCGCCATGATAAACAGTCTAAAGGCCATAAGCCAATTTCTGGCCAAAAGCTATTAAACCAGATGTTTAGCCAGTTAAGAGGGGAAACAGATATTTTTCTACAGGTTGTTCTGTTAAACTTTTACATAGAAAAAATAGATCCTAAACACCGTCCAACACAAAAGACATGTTGTGGTCATACAACAGACTTGAAAATTAAGGACACTAGATAATTGAAAACAAGACACATGGCCAAAATTTAAGGAATACAACATAAGAAGTCATCAACATACAATACTAGGTATGCACTCAATATATCATACCCAAATTTTAGAATATATCCATATCCGACAATTTCTGAATTTTCACGACTTCGTTAGGTTTCCCTCTAACCAAACATTTTAAGGGATGAGCATCACAGACCACAAAAGCAAAAAGCTCTAATATATGTTTGAAAACATCAGCATGCAACACAATTCTTATCACTATGTTCAGCTCCAAGGTAGCACACAGCGGTGCTCTATTAATTTGCAGAATTCCACCAGCTTAGATTAAAATGTCAAAGATGAGCAAAGAATTACCATTAAGCAACACTTGCCAGAAGGAAAAAATGCAAGCTGATGGAAACAAAGCTTAATAGGACAGCTTCAGCATGTGAGACAGTGGGACCAAATATACATCATCTGAAAACACGAAAGCTCTCTTTTACAACAGTCTCCCATGGGGAATGGAGATGTTATACTTTCAGCATATATCTCCAAAACATCAAACAAACAATCACTCATTTACACATGCCAATGAATGAAATTTACATTTATACCACCAGAGATACAACCTATGAGAGCTGAGAAGCTCGGTAGCTAACCAAAAGCAACTCCAACCCAAACCTTAGATTAGACATATGTAGTAGTGGTTGGCTTTCATTTCTGTAGATTCTGTTGAACTATCAAGAAACCAGTGGGTTGAGGAACTCATCATCAAATGGGTTCTGAGAAGAATCTTTGTAAAAACAAAGTAGCAGTGCTGGAAAAGGCAAAAAGCATAAGGAAGTGCCAAGGTCAATTGGAACTTACCGATCAAAGTGCACGCTTTAGCAAAGAAAAACATAAATAAACATGTACATGCAATGCAAGAAAAATTTAAAAACAAACACAAACAAGAGTTGTATAGCCACCAGATTTGAAAAAAACTACACTAGGTCTATGTTCCTCGGACTTGGTTGCGGATACCCGATACAAATGCAGATCTAAAGGTTGGTTTCTTCATCACATGACTTATAGGATTCAAGGATATGGATCCAAGTGGGGATACGGGTGCTGGGATACGGCCAAGAAAAGCATATTACGACATTTGTTAGTATATGTTTCGATTAATTAAATTTGTTGAACTAAATATTTTATTCACACGATGTCTCGTGTAATACAAAGCATTCTCATAAAATCAAAAATCAAAATGAATACCCAATCAATTTATACTTTTTGGTCATAGATGTAGCAAAGCACCCAAAGTAAGTTAACCAAATCCGGTGTGAATCCCACACCCACACCCAACATGAGTGCGGCAGGGATTTTGAAGTGTCCGCAAAACATAGCACAAGGTTAAATATTTGAAGTAAAAACAATGTAAGTATAGTGCTCTCTCTTGAAAAATGTGCCAGGCCCCTTTTCTCTTTTCTCTTACCAGTCGCTAGCTCTGACATACTTTTAAGGTAACCTTTTTAGTTATGAAAAAGAAAACCTTTTTACATCTGGAGATAACACTTACCAACTTATGATATTAGTGATGATAATTTTAGATAGTTCACATTTATTGAGTGAAGAAGGGGATTCACCACCAGATTAAACATTGATGAAGAAAACATGTGATGGGCATGCGAAATTATTCAACAAGCATCTCGGAGGTCGGGGAATTTGTGTAGAAGGTGGGGAAGAAAGAGCCAGACATACACCTACAGAGTCTTCCAAAACTTCAACATATATGGTCGTTATTTACGAATCGAAGATGGACTGGAGATAGGAAAACATCCATCATTATTCCAGAGGAACACTACAATTGGGGTTGGGGTGACATAACAAAGAAGATCCTACACTTCTTAGGCGAACCTACTGACCAACGATTTAATCGTTTGGTACGGGATACCAAGTCTTTCATCGATACAGCTATAATCTCACAGTGGCAAGACAAGATTCAAATACCCCAAAGTTGGATCCAGACAATGTTAAGCACTATGCTGGTATAGACCAGTTAGTATCTAAGTGTTTAGTGGGCTGCTTCAATGACTCCTTCAGCCTTAGTCGAAGTGCAGATGTGATTGAAAAATGGTTTGTCAACAGATGGAAAATCAGTGTTTGGGTTGAAAGTCACTCCTCTCACGCACAATCTATTCCTTTCTTATTCCCCCTCAAGACAAGAAGCTGCTAGAATTATGACAGGAGAGTGGTTCTGGTATGAGAGGCGTGTGACACTTGAGTGGTGGTCGCTAACAGCTGGTGCAAAGATGCAAAACATAGTCAATCAATCTTGGGTTAAGGTGTTTAGTATCCCTCTGCATGCTTAGAACCATAACACATTTCGCTACATAGGAGACTTGTGAACATACAAGCTTAAATCTTGATGCTAGAGAAGCACAAATGAAATCCATGTTTTCTACAATAACAGAGGGTTGTTTTTTTTTTTTTTTTGGATGAAGTAGTGTATTATTGACAAAAGTATCCAGTGGATGCACGTATTACAAAATAAAAGAAGATATCAGCCCCTAAGAAGAGAGCAACAAAAAATCTATCATAAGACTTACAATAACGGAGGGTTATTGGGCTCATGAAGGTGTCAATGGATTTGGAGAATTTGGCCACGAATTTAAAATGCTTACACTAATTAGCCTTAGTCCAATTGAGGCCCAAGAATCTCAAGAAATTGAAGAAGTCCAAGAATCCATTCAAGATTAGGATTTCTTTTCCTTCAAGATTAGGATTTCTTTTCCTTAAAGATTAGGATTTCTTAATTCTTGTTTTAGTAGGATTATATTTATAATTCTAGTCAAACCAAGATTGTTAGTTGGTAGTCCATTCCTACTAGAATTCTTTTTCTTAGTTTAGTTAGGATAGGTTTTTTTAGCCTTATTCTTATTCTAGTCTAATTAGGATTAGTTTCCTTAGTCTTATCAATTTTACTCATTATAAGCCTATTTAAAGGGCTCAATATGCTGAAAATAAATATTGGTGATTAGTTGTTTGAGCATTAGCTTCAAAATCGTGATTGACTCTTTTGTTTCCTCTTCTTCACTTATTCAACGCTTCTTGCAATATTATGGAATTGACGAACGTGTGGGTGAGATAGTACATCAGAGACAAATGTGATGGATTTGTGGGAATTTATGAAGACACAAAGAAAAAAGTTCAGCTTCAGTGGGCCAGAATTTGTATCGTAGGAGATGCGACCAAAGTTCCGGCAAAAAACGATCTTGAAATTGGGGGTGCTTCGAAATTTCAATGATAGCAGGTTTCCAGTAAAGCCAGGATAATTGGAAAGCCACCGGAATTATTGCAGATAATGCTAGCGTTTCTCAATTACCGAGCCCACCTACCAGTTACGTGCAGCCTAAAGTGATTTCAAATTCAATTTTAGACCCACGTGTCCCCACTTTGACTCGGCCAAAGGCCCCTTCAATTAATACTAAAGTAGTATTGATCCAACATTTTAGTTACTACTCTAAAGGCCCAAAACGTAAAGCCTACAACAGGAGAAATAAGGAAAAGAAGATTCGAAAAGCAGTTGGGACAATCATAGTCCCTTGCCACAACAAATTTGGAGTCTTTAGTTTAGAGCCCAATTTTGATTATATCAACGAGCAACCAGTTCCAGACAAAATAGTGACTACTCTCGATTCTTCATCTTCTATGAAACGAAAAGTTCACTGTTCTCCAGAGGCAAAGGAAGAAGCTAGTCTCGTTCCTTTCTCTTCCATGCAAGAAAAGTGCTACAGTTCTTTAGAGGTTGTTGATGAAGTTGAACCCATATCTCTCAAATTTTACCCTAGCCTCTCTCTTTCGAGGCCTAAGAAGATTATATATTTGTAGCACAAAGGTTGTGCTAAAGACAACATTACAATTTGACATAACCAAAAACATAGCTTCTTCTAGCTCTTACTAGAAGGATTCAATAATATCTAACGGTGAATCAACATCCTGTACAAAATCTTCCTTGCACCAAAAGTGAAACAAAAAAAGGCCGTTCATCTTAATTTTCTGTAAGGAATTGTTGTTCCCTTCAAAACACCTACTACTTCTTTCCTTCCAAATCGTCCACCATATGCATCCTCCATGGTCCATGACAATCCTTCTCATACTCAAAAATAGTTGCCATACACAATGTATAAATAGATGACTACTATTTTCAGCCTCGTTCGAACATAGATAACACTTTGAGCACAATGGCCTTCCCCTTCTCTTTAAATTGTCTTGTGCTAGGCAAGCATCTCTACAACTAGCCACACAAACAAGCTATTTTAGGTGGTATGCTCACTTTCCATACTGCTTTCCAACTCCACAATTGAGCTTGCTGACCAGGGTGATTAAGCAAGGTATATGCTGAATTCACTGTAAATTGGCCCTTATTGTGTCGTTTCCGTTGTTGCTAGCTTGCGCTCACTCGTCTCTTTGTTGCTAGACGAGG